TATCTTTCCTTTTCTCCTTTGCCTTTCACTTCTCTTCTTTTCACAGCTATTTGTAAGGCCTCCTCAGACAGCCATTTTGCCTTTTTGTATTTCTTTTTCTTGGCGATGGTCTCTATCCCTGTCTCCTGTACAATGTCACAAATCTCCATCCATAGTTCATCAGGTACTCTATCAGATCTAGTCCCTTAAATCTATTTTTCAATTCCACTGTACAATTGTAAGGAATTTGATTTAGGTCATACCTGAATGGTCTAGTGGTTTTCACTATTTTCTTCAATTTAAGTCTGAATTTGGCAATAAGGAGTTCATGATCTGAGACACAGTCAGCTCCCGGTCTTGTTTTTGCTGACTGTATAGAGCTTCTCCATCTTTGGCTGCAAAGAATATAAATCAATCTGATTTTGGTGTTGGCCATCTGGTGATGTCCATGTGTAGAGTCTTCTCTTGTGTTGTTGGAAGAGGGTGTTTGCTATGACCAGTGCATTCTCTTGGCAAAACTCTATTAGCCTTTGCCCTGCTTCGTTCTGTACTCCAAGGCCAAATTTGCCTGTTACCCCACCTGTTTCTTGACTTCCTACTTTTGCATTCCAGTCCCCTATAATGAAAAGGGCATCTTTTTCGGGTGTTTGTTCTAAAAAGTCTTGTAGGTCTTCATAGAACCGTTCAACTTCAGGTTCTCAAGCATTACTGGTTGGGGCATAGACTTGGATTACTGTGTGACTTTTTCTGGGGGGGGTGGGGGTCAGCGCTTCATGACATGTGGAATCTTGGTTCCCCAACCTGGGGTGGAACCCACACCCCCTGCACTGGAAGTGCAGAGTCTTAACCACTGGGCCACCATGGAAGTCCAGCAGTGACGTTCTATAAAATCGATCACATAACCTTAACCTGAGTCTCCTGTTACTGTCATTTGTTTTCTAATTCTTATGTAACCTCTTCCCCGCCTGGAATGTAACATCCCAGAAAGTACTTACAAAATATATAGTTGTTGAATGAATGAAGGGAGAAACAATGACCTAACTTAGTAGTATGTTGTCAGAATCAGATGAGAAAGCATTATGTGCAAGTCCTTCATAAACTGCCAAGAACATAATACATGTCAGCAATTTTCTCTGTATCCACAAAATGCTATAAATGGTAGGTGTGCCTAATCAACATTTGCTGATGACCATCATATGATGAACACACATAAAACATAAAGATGCGACACCAAAAACATGGCACAGGAGCCACCAGAAATGTCAGCGAGAAGATTTCACTGTGACTATATAGGGCATGATGACAATACATCAAGAGACAACCTGCTTCAATTCCTCTAGGTCCCTGTTAGCTACATAAAGACTATTACTGATTCAGACTGTAGGGTTAAACTAATCAAAAGGTAAAGACTGGGCAGAATTGAAAAGAAAAGGAAAAGAAAGCAGAATAAATCCCCCCCTCCACCTCAACCGACAACCAAAAGTTCATCTATAGGACCTCTGTATACTTTACCAGGTCCATCAACAAGCACCATTGACACTGTATTTGATGTG